CGGCCACGGCAGGGGCATGGGGCGTGCCGTCCTTCCGAAACCGGCATTGTGCGCGTACCACACGCACCAAGGCGGCCCGGGCCAAGCGCAGGGGACACGTCAGACACGTCTGCCTAGCAGAACGTGCTGGAGCTGGCAGCCGCAAGAGCCAGCGGGGCCCGGGGAACTCGTGCTGTGGCTGTCAGTAACCAGACCCTTACTCCAGAGAGCACACACTGAAACGAGTATCTGGGGATTCCCAAAGATCCCACCTGTATTTTCTCGCACATGGCGCAGAAGTCACCGCGGATGAAACACACCATTCCCTGGTCTTGATTGGACCCAGCTCTAGATGAAAAGAGGCAGATCTGAGAAGCTCCAGCGAGAACGCGCCTATGTCAGTTAGGGGGCAGAATAAAGGGTGACCAGCAAGGGCTGAACACCCCACACCTCTGGAGAAGAACCTAGCTCTGGACTCCCTGCTGCGCAGCTCCGCCTCCTAACACTACTTATTTTCTTTCCATTTCTCCCTGGGCTTCCAGATTTCCTGCAGGAGATCTTACAGCCCACAGCCATAACCAAGGGTCCAACTAACCCGGCCTCCGCAGCACCGGAATTTCGCAGCACCCTGGGAGCTGAGCCCTTGTAGAGGTGGTGGGGAAACGCACTTCGAGCGGCGTGTGCCAGGGGAGACGCTGGTAGCAATCTGACCGCCGGCAGGCTCCTCCACATCCCGCTAACCCACCCCAGGCGCAGCATGTTTACAAGTCACCCGAAAACCGTTCTGGGGCAGAGAATGGCAAACCTTCCACAGAAGGTGGGCGGAAAGGGCTCTCTGAATCCCTGCCCAGTCATTTGCATTTTGCTACCCACTCATGCCACTGAATAACAACATTTCCACTGCAGCTAACAGTCCTCCCCAGCTCTTGGAAGCATTTCCCTTTTCAAATGGCATCACTCCACTCTTGCCTGCTTTCAGCTTAAGCCTGCGGGGCTTCAACTCACCAACTGGGCCTTCCCACCAACCTTCTGGCCCCACGGCCTGGTGGTCACGCTTCTGCTGGCTGAAAACAAAACACCGAACTGAGTTTTGCTCCAGCGTTTCGCCTCGCAGCCAGGAGCTGAAGAGAAGGGAGGACAGGCGAAGTAACTGTACCGACGGCCTTCAGAGAGGAAAGGTGATGGTCCCTTACCATTCTCCAAGTTGTGCTACAGAGGGAAAAACAGAGTCAGAAGACTGCAGCTTGGATTCCCTTCCTACCTCCCGGCACTGCGGGAGGGCCTCAAGCATGTGCCAGAGCTTATCCTGCACCAGGGCGCGTGTGACCACACTTTGCTCAGAACCGTAACACGGAAAGTGTGTTTCCTCCTCCTCGCTGACTGCATGAGCCACGTCTGAATTCAGAGCATGGCTACTCCTGCAGTCCCTTAGAGGATTCTGACGGGGTTTTCTCTCCTTTCTCGTAGATCTTCGTCAGCAGGCAATAACATTAGCTATGGAGGTTGCCCAACTTTAACAGGTAGAACAAAGTACCAGACCACTGTAACGACAGGGTGTGACTGACCAGCACAGCCCCCAGCAGAGGACAGTTCAGAGAACGGCAAAAGCCCAATGAGCTCGGGGAGGAACATATCATAAAGAAACCTCAGTTTGCCTCAGCAAATTCTCAAGTTAGGGAGACTGGAGGGTAACCTCATTTTTAGAGAGGACAGCTGCGCCTCTGCGCCATCAGGTTCCCCAAGACAACCAGCACAGCCTACCCGAGCTAACCTGACCAGCACTGCAGGTGTGAGTGCAGTGTGAAAACCGGACAACTGATAAACCAGTTAAACTTTGGAAAGAGCAGTGGGCTTGAGCTGGCTTCAACCCACACGTTCCATCGTGACCGGGGATGCCCAATGTCACGACGCTGAGCACAGACAGGTAATAGAATCATGGCTGTATTTGTGATTCCACTGTATATGGCAATTACTAACTTGTGCTCGGTTGTGATTTCAGTATGTTGCTGTGTCGCTCTACCAAATCAAAGCCCCATGTAGCACCAAATATACCAAGGAAGTAAATTTGATATCCAGCTCCTCCTCATGCGGAGTATCTGAAAGGACTTGGTCTGAGAGTACTGAGCTCTGACAGAGAAATATGAAAAAACAGAAACGCTGTAGATTCCCAGCTTCACTGCTTGGAGCAGCTGCTACCTTCCAGCAAGTTTCTCCCAGAGGAAGCAGTTATTCCATTTAAGCTGCATTTTGTTATCCTAAGCCAACATTCACAAATCTCATTACTAACCTCAGATCAGGGTCTCCTTTATGAAAGCATTATAGAAGTGTAACGAAGTTGGTGCCGCACTTCCTAGCCGGTTAACTGAATGTCAGCCACAGAACTCCACGGAACTGGTGCCTGGCCCCAAACAGCGCTCTCACTGACACAGTGCTTGTAACGCCTGCTTGCTGTTGATGAAGCCCCTGTGAACAGAGCTGCGATTCCAAGAATGGGCGTTGTCCCTTTACCTGGAAGGTGAAAAAGGGTAAGGGCAGCAAAACGTCACTGCACTGTGTGGAACTAGGAAAGAAGAAGTTTTGCTTCAAGAACACAAGCAGGATTGAAGAAAGAACCACTGCTCTATGGCTAGAAAAAAAATGCAAACTACAAAAAAGCAGAAGTTAAAGTGTCTCAAATCCACCCTTTATGTTGTTATAAACTCCAAAGGGCTGTAGCCGTTAGAATCCCATACAGCTCACACACCACCTACCCACTGCTGAGGGTGCAAGGGAAGAGCAGCCTCACTGGCACCAGCTGCCACTGTCATGAAGGTCCTGAACTTGACCTATCATCCCTCCAGCTGCGAACGAAGGGGTATCAACACGCCGCCATTGAACACCTCAGCGTGCGCAGAGTAACCGCTGCTAAAGTGAGAGTGTTCGTCACGCTGCGGTCTCCCAGTCAGCTCATCCAAAAGAGAAACACACCACAAACAAAGGTGATGTGAAAGCCAAGAGCATTTATTACGACAGAAACAAGAGTTCAGGGAGTCAGTTGCCAGGAGAAGGCGGCATCTTGAAATAGTGAATCTAATGGAGTGGGACCTCCCTTCCAGCAGTGGACAGCTGCTCAGAACGGACTGCCCCCTAAGAGCTCTGGGGGAAAAGCCACAATTAGAACCCTGGCCCTTCAGCTAAGTAAATTAATAACATAAAGCGAAGCAAATATTTGGAGGAAAAGAACCAAACTTGTATCATCATAATCATCTTTTTTTGGTCCTTCTGGACAGGGATGTTATTTTCCATGAAAAATTATCCAGCTTCCAGAGACAGCCATTGGGTGAACCCATTACCAGGTTACACGTGCTCCCTGGGAAGGGATCTAGCATTCCGAGTCTCTGTTCATCTCTTCGTATTTCGGGGACTTGTAACAACTTGGACAGAAATAGGATTTCCATTGGCATTTCCAGTAACTCCTGAAAATCACAGTACTTGGAAGTGCTTCCTCACTTGCAAACCAGATGGAGCAGACTCCACCGCTTTGGACAGAAAGCCAGACCTGTACTCCTCCACGGCCCCACCAGACGGCGACAGATCCAGGTGCCAGGAAGCTGATTAAACATGGGAATTGGAAAATTTAGGACCCATGGCCCTTGAAGGACTGGAGATAACTACACAGATCCAGTTAATTTCTCTTGCAAATTCTCTTCCCCGTAGAAGCCCACTCCAGATGTGATTCCTGAATGTACTCTTTCTACTTTTCAGCTGAAGGAGGTTGTGGAATTGGGAAGATCAATCGCTTCCGTAGGGTTGATATTATCTCTGGCATCTGCTTCCCTTCATTTAATACTCTTCCTCCCACTTCCTTGTTCACTTCTGTCAGGATGGTTACGAGATCCTCGCGGCTTGAACAGAAATGAAGAAAAATTACTTGAAATACATGGTACTTGCAGCTGGGCCAAGAAGCTGATCCGTGTCTGCTCCAGTAACGCGGGATCTCAGGGGAGACTTTCCCCTCACCCTGCCCGTCACTGAAACCGCACGCTCCATCGGGTGACCACAGCAAGCTGTGTGTCTGGGGAAACCACAGCAGCCTCCACGCAGCACTGCTCCACCAGCACACAGTCCCCTCCTTCAGTTACAGTCAGCGGGGCGCACAACGGTGAAACAGAACCCAAACCTGTGCGAATCCCCAAGCTCTCCCAGACACCACGAGAAAGTGATGTCTGAAGAGAAATTCCATTTTCTAAATCAGGTTTATAACAGGGATGGGAGGGAGTCAACAGTGAAAATTGTGACTAAAAGAACACTGATTTTTTCGGTCTGCGTAATCACTGAACAAATTCGCCTCTCATCAGGTGTCACCAGAAGAAAAATCATGTATCAGTCAAAAAAGTGTTAAAAACATGCACACATATAGACACTTATTTGTACGTAATGTTCCAGAATTACAACCCCACTGGCTTCATCAGGGCAAACTAAGGGAAGCCACTTGTCCTCTGGTTCATCTGTAGAAGAGTAACAATGCCCAGTTCTAGGAAAATTACTGTTCTGCAGTGTCCTGTAGGTGAAAAGCATGGAACAGCACAGACGCAACACACAGATGTTCCAACACCGCGCACTTACGTACGCATGTCTGCAACACCCCAGACGTACACGGCTCAGAAGCAGTACTTACAGGGGGCAAAGCAACTTCATCTTCTCACAGAGGCACTGAATGTAAACACTGCCAGTCTCCCTGCAGCGGTAGCACTCGTAGCCTTCCACTGTGGCCATGCCAACCAGAGTATCAGCCAGATCAGGAATGGAGTGCAGAGGGGTAGCATCTGCCTCAAAATGGCCAGATGCATCTTCTTTTACTGTGACAGCTGGATGAACTGCAAAGCCTTGGCAAGCCTGGATGAAAAACAGCTTGGGCTTGCCAGCAAGAGAAGGACAGTTGGATCCACTGAAGCAGGAGAGTAAATCTTTAATATTTATAAACTCATGATCAACACCTTTTATTTTGTTTTCTTCACCATGGGAAAAAATGAAGCAAACAAAACAGTCCATGTTACTATGATCTTTTTTGCTGTATTCTTTAACTTTTGCATACATTTCATATGCTTCCAGATCCATGTGCTCAACTGTCTCAAACTGAAGCCAGCTAAAGACCTCCTTCACAGCCTCTGGAAAAGAAGTCAGAAGGCACTAGGTAAACACCAGCAGTGACAAGGAAGATGCTCAAACATCTGTGTCTGTGTGGTGGGACAGATGTTAGCAGAAGCGTTCAGATCCCACCAATAAACTCACCTGAAAGACTCCTAGCCTGCAAAATCTAATTAGAAAAATCCAAACGTCTGATTTTCTTGTTTTAAACACAACTGGGTTAAGCATCACACCATCTAAAACAACACCAGGTTTCGGATTATCTGATGAGTCGGTACAAACTAGTGAAGCTTATTGTGTTACAGAAAGCTTCAGCTGTGAATTGCGCGGTAATCTCAGGCACTTAAGAACACTTAGCACGTTACAGACCAGTACCTCTCTAGAATGACAAATTCTGCCACTCTTAAATGCAGTAGGTCCCTCCTCCTGTGAGAACGAGCAGTGGAGCAAGGAGGCAGGCAGGATGACCTGCGAACAAATGCTACACACACCTCTCAGCAAGTGCCGACAACTGCTGTGTGGGCAGTGAGGAAGTAGCTGGGAAGCAAGCAGCCTGGAGACAGGATGGATGGGGTTAAAACATCAGTGATGTGTGCTTTCGTGACACGGATTTTACTTTTTTAAGATAAACTTTCATCTTAAAAGTGACTCTTGCAGGAAGACAGGCGTTAAGGAAAATTATAAAGCAGTAGCATTTATTTGAGCATTGAAAAGAATTTAAGGACTTAGAACTATTAGTCCATGATAGCTAAGAATTACAACCAATCAAAAAGCGAAAAGGAGGAATAGTAATCCCTCCCTCACTATTTGGAACTTGTGGCCAATTAAGACAATGCTTTTTACCTGGAACGGAAAGCGAGTCCTTCTTTAAGCCATCAGCTAAACTGTTGGAAGTGGCAAATTTCCAATTTCTACAGTGACTGTCATTCCAGTTACCCTGGAGGCAAAGGAGCTCAGTGGACATGATTCCTCTTCACGGGAAAGATTAGCTAATTCTTTCAGAGAATTATCAGTGAAAAAACCCAAGCCAGTAATTGGATTAAAAAAGTACTTACCCCCGTCTTTCTCTGTTCCTTCTCTGGCTTCATACGGATTTTTGAACATGTAGTTGTTAAGAATCACACAGTAGCCATGGGGGTTATTTTTCATCTTATATGATTCCACAGGCTGTAGAAACGAAGAAAGCAGGTCAGAAAGGAGTGCCAAGCATCTGAAGGAGAAATATGCTAAACACAGATTGTTGGTCCTTCATGAGGGCCAAGACACAAGAAAGGAAAAGCCTAAGAATATAAGCTAGCCACAGAGGAGAGGAATCTGCTTTGTCTCCCTGAATCGCCCCTCGTCTCCCTCTGTGGTCAGGATATGATGTTGGCATGGAAGAAAGTAAGTATACAGAAACACAAATTTGCATGTACAGAGGAAAAGTGCCCACACCCTACCATTCCTCTGAGAGTCTTTATGGGTTTCTAGTGGGGTAGCAGATTCTGTTGTTCCCTCTCATCTATCCAGAAGTATCGTGGACAGGACATTAACATCCAGTCTCCACTATCATTAAGATGGGTTTTCTTCACAAAACAGCTACTCCTTAATTTCTTGCCTAAAAGGTTGCTGACAGCCAGGTCCTCACAAACGAACAAGGCTTCGTCTTGTTTTGACAACAGGAATTGTCCCAAGGCCTACATATAAAGCCAGAACCCTTTCAGCTCTTCCACCTGCTTAGTCTTAAGAATTTATGCTTCCCCTCCCAGGAGTTGGATAAAGACTTTAAATGTGATCTTGAGGTATTTCTTACCCAGTGTGATGTCTCCCCCTCTGCTCCTTCTTCTTCTGCATTCACAGACACAGGCACTGGATAGTGGAGTATTGCCTTAGAATCATTTTCTAAGAAGGACAAGATAAAAGGAACATTTTAGGACTAAAAAGGTAAATCTTCCACTGAGCATATTTCAGCAGTCAAAAAACCAGTACAATGAGTGAGGTGGAGGATGGTTTTCACATCACTGGGACACTACAGTTTTGTAGAGCCGGGCCAAGCAGGGTTCCAGTTTCACAGACTGCTGGTGCTCCATCTCTTCTCTGCTCTTTGACTGGTAGCAAGATCCAGGTAATAAAAGGCTGAATGTGAGAAGTCACTCCAGGCAAGCCATCCACTAGCATCTCCACTATGGGATACAGGAGTGAAAGAGGAGACCCATTTTTGTACAGGGATACACTATGCACCACAGCTAGTTCATTTACTTCTGGGTTTCTTCTCCAAGAAATGTTACTGTTTGGGTGAACACACCAAGGATGCGGAATATCAGCGTAATGTAAGATCTCAAAGCAACAAAACACTTGTTTGAATACAACTACCTGAAATAAGTGAAGAAATCATCCAACCCATGACTCTACCCAAGGAAAGAAATCACAGTACCCCTTTTACAAGTTACACAGAAATTTTTAAATGGAATTTAACTTTCAGGTCAACAAGATCTGTAAGACATACTCTTTTTCTACTTATCAAGGGGCACAAAGTAATAACAATACTAATAAAAAGCCATTCCCCTGACAGAGGGTTTGCTTACGCTACCAACCATTGGCAATTTTCTTCTGCTTTTTTAGAGACACAAGCACATGTCAGCAGCACAAGACACACTGGGGAAACTAGCTGGTATCTTATGCAGGGATCATCTGCATGGGGTGCATAGACATATCTGCGGAAACGCCTGTCCCGAGCCATCCAAATGAGGTTTGGGGGAAAATCTAACAGGTCTCAGTTGTTGCTGGTTGACACATCCTGTTTCCCAAGGAGTAAGGCCCAGCTGTGGTGTCAGAAGTCAACACCTGAGCTGCAACAGCCTAGATGTACTGAAGGCCTTGAAATTTCACATATAGTACAGAAAGCTAATGGTTACAGTTTGGCCAAGTACCTGGTCTCCAGGGTCTTTTCCTCTGACTAAGAGCAAGCAACCTGGCTAACAGAAAATAATGGTGACGATCTCCCAGTACAAGTTTGCCCAAGGCAACTGTCACTTCCAGTCTCTTTCAGCAAATGAAAAGCCATCCTGGTCCAAACCAGGAGACCAAAACTGTTTTCAGAAGAGAAAAAACTGCATTTTAGGCAAAGATGGGGTGAAGCAGACCATTTACAAGGTACAGGGCATATTTCCAGAAGAGATACAAGCAGGTATGATGGGATAATGAAGTAGCAGAAAACTATACAAGCCACAGATACCAAGAGCCACTCTGCCTATCCTTGGATAAGAGAAGGTCTCTCTCTTATCTCTGGACTCCAAAGCTGCCAATGATGGAGCCAAAAAAATTGCAACAAACCCAGCTCTACTCTTGAAAAGCAGATTAAATAATTTACCTTTTATTTTTTCTTCATAGGTATCAATTCTTTTCTTTAAGTCAGCTCTAAATCCCTTTAATACACCTTTCAGCACCGACAGGTCATCTTCTTTAATTATGACGTTCCTTTCCATTTCCAGGAAGACCTTCAACATTGACTGGTAAAACAAAAACACATAACCCAAACTCACAGTGACCTTCAAGAACTGCACTAACAGGCACTTCTGGACAGAGCAGAAGACAGCACCCTCGTTCCCAGAGACCGACCAGCTAAAGACCAATTTATTTTTCCTCCAAATCTCATTAAAACAAGGGTCAGGATGCAATGCAACTGAAGAAACACTTCACTAAGGTTGAGACAGGATCATTAGAAATTGCCTGTGTCTAGGTTATCCTGCTTTGTTTCAGCAAAGCAAAGCACTGATGTGGGTAACAACATGGCATCCTGCTGTGTCTCTGTGTCCAGGTGAAGTGCTGTTAAGTCATTTAGCTGTGCCATTTTACACTTTGTGTTACAGAGAAGGGGTTCAGGGCTAATTTAGTTGTTTGGGTTGTGGTTTTTTGTTTTTGTTTTTTGTTTGTTTGTTTTTTAAAAAAAGCTCAACAGTCCACCAAGTTGGAGGGAAATCTGCTGAATTTCCTATAGGTGCTGCAAACAGGACTTTTAAGGAAGGTTCTTAATAATACCAAGCATTTTTATAACACTGTTCATTATTTACAGTGGAAGTGTTAAAACTAGCTCATCAAACCTTTCAATACTTTTTTTTGGGGGGGGGAGGGAGTTAACAAAATGCTGTTACCCCAAATTACAATAAAAAAGAAAATGCACCTCATGACACACAAAAAATTGTGGTTGAACTCACATTAGAACCCGATTTTCTGTCTCCAAAATACTGTTTTTCCTCCAGCAAGCATCATTTTTCCTAGATACAGCATATGTACAGATGCCTTATAAACGCCAAGCAAAGGCAAAGGGAAGAGCATGATGGATTTTGTAAGAAGAAAGGGTTTGTGAGACAGGCGGTGGAGGGAAAATAGGAACAGGAGAGCAAAAAAGGGCAGAGAGAAGATAAAATGAGAAAAAAAAGGGTTCATTTTTTCACACATCAGCTAACATCACAATTCTTCCAACAACAGATTATAGTGGGAGCAGAATGCTTTCTCTTTCCTTCCTTCTTACAACAGCTAGCAGACTCTGAACTAGCCTTGCAAGACACTTAGCAAGATCACTTTGCATACAGCACCACTCTGGAGCTTGTTCTTTGGTATTTTCTTTTGCAGCAGGAACTTCACATTCTTGACATCTTCTGGAATCAAGTCCTCTGCAATTCCATATAGTAGCTGTCTGGCAGTAAACAGAGAAAGGCTGATTAAGAAAGTTATAACTAAGCACCACAATTACATATCTGAAATGCAAAATGGCAGGTAGTCATGCTGTAATAAATACAGTTACGCTAGGATATTCATAAGACAACAGTACAGACAGAAAACAGGGCAGTACACAACAGACCTGTTTTACATTTGGCATGCAAAGCTTTACTACTTCTGTACTTACCTGTAGGCTGACACCTTTGCCCTGCCCGGGATCCGAAGCTCCTTCTCCACCTCCTCCGGGCTGGAGCGCAGCTGGGCAGCCAGGAGGTCCATGCGGTTGATCCGGTAGAGCAGCTCCTTCAGGAAGAACAGGTTCCCCGCCCCGATCAAGTCTCTCTCCTGCAGCACGTCTAAGAAGGCCTTGGGCTCCTCGATGGCTTCCAGCTTCCTCATGGGGATGTGCTCCAGGCTGAGGAACTTCAGAGCTTCCAGTTCATCTGTGACCAAAGCCTCGGAAATGTCAAAAAGGAGTTTGTGGAAGTCTGTACTCATTTCACATCAGGATTTGGATCTAAACACAAACGGAAGTTGATTTCATTTGTCAGTAACGGTAGAGCAACAACAATCACATCATGCAGAAGAGCCCAAAATAAATACATGCAATCAAAAGGACTTCAGTAGAGAGAGGCTGTTTTGCTGTCACAGCTTTGATGCTTAGCTCTTTTGGTTGGAATATAATAATTCTAGAGAAAGTCATGGATCCTTCCTGCTTCTTATGGTGTGTCTAGACAGCAGGAAGTACCAATGTACAGGATACACAATCCTGGCAGGCTGCTACTGCTTTAGTTTGGGTTTGGTGTTTTTTTCTTTTGAGGTTTGATCCCATGTGGAAGCAAGAGGCACTTGCCAGTCTGAAATACAGACTATGCTGTAAATGAGACTGCCAGGCTTTACACTATAACAAGGACAAAGGTTTGACATAACAAAGATAAGAGTCCACTTAAGTGTTAACTCTTCTAAGCTATCTGGTTTCTCCTTTCTCTGTACACTGCTTCTGACCCAGGTCAGTGCAGCCAAAGCACCTCTTTCTCTTTCGGATTATCTCTGTCAAGAAAAACTCTATTCCCAGCTCTCAATCAAGTTGTAATATTCAAATTAAATACAGACCATGGTAACCCTTTTTAAAAGGCCAAGAGAATCCTTGTCAAACTAGCTGTTTCACTAAGCATGAAATACCACCTCCCTTCTCCACCTCCTCCATGAGCTTTAGAAATATTAAACTTGGCTTATGGATCCAACTTTTGAGCACAAGAGAAGGTTAGAAAATACCAAGTGCAAGCCTTCGAACTATCTCACCGTAACACTTATAAGACCTGCCTCCTCTCCCTCTCTGGTAAGGGAACCATTTGCCACTTTATTCTCTCTGCCTCAGATCTAAGGCACTTAGAAATCTCTATAGAAATGCATTCTGAAAAGATCTCTTAGAATCATAGAATCGTTTGGGTGGGAAGGGACCTTAAAGATCATCTAGTTCCAACCCCCCTGCCATGGGCAGGGACACCTTCCACTAGACCAGGTTGCTCCAAGCCTCATCCAGCCTGGCCTTGAACACTTCCAGGGATGGGGCATCCACAGCTTCTCTGGGCAAGCTGTGCCAGTGCTTCACCACCCTCTCCAGAAAGAACTTCTTCCTGATACCTAATCTAAACCTCCCCACTTTCAATTTAAACCCATTCCTCCTTGTCCTGTCACTACAGGCCCTTGTAAAACGTCCCCTCCAAGCTTCCTTGTAGCCCCTTCAGGTACTGGAAGGTGCTATAAGGTCTCCCCAGAGCCTTCTCTTCTCCAGGCTGACCAAGCCCAACTCTCTCAGCCTGTCCCCATAGCAGAGGTGCTCCAGCCCTCTGAGCATCTTCGTGGCCTCCTCTGGACTCGCTCCAAGTGGTCAATATCCTTTTGATGTTGAGGGCTCCACAGCTGGACGCAGCACTCCAGGTGGGGTCTCACCAGAGCAGAGTACAGGGGCAGAATCACCTCCCTCGCCCTGCTGCCACACTTCTGATACAGCCCGGGATACGATTTGCTTTCTGGGCTGCCAGCGCGCACTGCCAGCTCATGTCCAGCTTTTCGTCTACCAGCTTTTTGTCTTGTCCCACTGAACTCACTGGGAGACAGAAAAGTTGACAACAGCAAATCAAAACTTCCTAGTCCTACACTATGGGAGTACTAGACAGCCCATTTTAATCATACTGCTACTGCAAACGTGTTGATACCAGGACTAGTAACTCCAAGGTAGCCCAGCTGACTAACTGAATCAGTACCACTGTCAATATTAAGAAAACGTACAAACTAGCAGCCAACTGTACTCCCCTCTCCTCCAAGGACCACTCTATAGCAAAGCAGCGTTTTGCGGCATGCCCTTGGCCAACATTCTGTTAGTTAGCAAGAGAGAACATACAATTAAATCTTAAATATTTGTCTATCAAAACCCCGATAAAACAGCAAAACATGTTGTGATGCAACATATACAATTCATGCTCTGGCCCCAAATATGGTTTTCTTTAAATCCATTCAAAATGAACTTTTACACAGACTAGAAGCCATAACATTCAGTCTGTATCACCACAAACCCACTGGTATCTGAATGAATCACCTGTGCTTAACCTCACAATTCAATGATCTCAGATCTGTGTATTTTTATAGCCACACCAGAAAAAGAGTATTTTCTTGGTGTACAGTTATGAAGTTACCTTCTTTCTCATGCCTTTTATTTAAGATACAAGGCATGTGCTTATAAGAGTAAATTTTTCTGGTAAAGGGAATTTTCATTTTTATTTCTCAAAGGCTGTACGTTTCAAACCTGCAAAATTATAGCAATTAGAAGAGATGTGCCACCTACACACTGTATTTCAGCCTGCCTGTAAATACAGGGAGCACATTGAAACAATGTTTAACTGCTTCTGCCTTTTTCTCCCACTTTACTGAATTAAAGACACAACTGATACAATAAGCAAACTGTTTAATAGTAATAATAATGCTGTTAATAGTAATTTTACATCACTTACGTGGGAGGACAGGCTGGAGGATTGCTGAAGTGAAAGCCACTCTAAAGTTCCAGGAAAGTACTGCCTTTTGTACTATGGTCCATACTGTCATGTGATTTACAAAAAGTAAGTTATAACGCAGTCATAAACTGAGGTCATAATGGAGCAGTCCCCTACTCCACCTACCACAGTTTCGGTTTCAGGAAATTATTACAGTGCTTGTGAGAAAAATGGGTAAATAAGGCACAAACGTAACCAAGTTTTGCTTTTGTCTGAAGGGGACACACTAAGCAGCACAGCCCGAACTTCCTAGAATGCAGTATACTTCTAGCTCAGCACATTTGCTCCCATAGACAAATTCACCATGATGGAAGGGTGAGTCAATGTAAAAACATCTCAGTCCCACTGCCCTGCTGGGTCACTACATCCTCCACAGCTTACCTCCTTCCTCTGAAGTCCCTCTCCAACTCACCCTACCCTATTTTGAACATGCACTTTCATGGAAGATTATTTCTTAAATTAAAAAAATAAAAAGTCAACTATCAACACCAAATGCAGTAGCAGGACCCAGTGGATACAGGGAACAGAAGGCTAAACATTCCTTTGAAATTCTGTAATACAAGTCCCCGTTTACACAAGAATTTAAGCAATAGTTAACTTTTGGCATTTTCGCAATCTCTGAAGTATAGAACTCTGCTTTCAGTGGTGAGGTTCCAGTACGATCTGCTTGTCACCAGTATCCTCCTTGAGGCAGGAAACACACCATCAGCAATCAACAGCGCTACCAGACTCTGTGAAGCCTGTGAAATCAGCATTACGAAAAGAGAGAGTTCGGAGGGCTGAAATTCATTACAATTTTGCAATTAAAACAATAATTCATTCATTTCAACCTATTTACCTTTATAAACTTCAAGTTGTAACATACCCTTTGATAGAACGAGGCATACAAATTCCTTCCAAAAGGCACACGTTAGTAACAGTTCAGAAAACGTGCCTGACTTGTTTCACTCGCACAAGTTGTCCTTTTATCCAAAGGCCGGGAGCAGCACAAAGGGACACCACAAGCACTGTCTGATTTCAGGTCCAAAATGGTTGTGTCTCCATGTCATCCCATGCCTCAGGGTCTCCCTCCCCGCATCAGTTCCTCTGTGTCTTCTTAACTGAACGAAGACTCCAGTTAGTTTGAAAGAGGAAGCATGCTGCAATCAGCACTGTGTGAAAAATAACTGCTTACAAGGCCAAGCCCAGGTTGGTTCTTTCCAGATAAAGGCTTATCCCATCATGCAGCAGTTTCAAGGACCAGCCCTCCTGGCACTGTTCTTCCTCATCTTTACTGTTTCACTTCTTAGTTCTTCTCCTCTCACCCTTCCCCAAAATGTTCCTGTCCTTTTGTTAACTTACAGTCTCTCCCATTTCTCTCGCTCCCCTGCACCCTGTTTTTTTCCCCTCCGGCTTCTTCTCGGACTGTCTCAGTGACCCAACTTATTTCTTCGACGGCAGCCTGCTGTATTGTCTCTCCTAGAAAGGCAGATCGTGAGGAGGTGAAAATGCTGAGGCTACTGACTACTCAGCAACTGGGCTGACTGTGGCCTCTACTGGCACGAGGCAGGAGACGCAGCTGCTGCACAAGAAAACGACAATCAGGAGGGACAGGAGACTTGTAGATGTTGCAAACCCCACTTTTAAGATCACGATCTTCCCAAGATACCAACTTCCCCAATAGAAAGCCTCTTTTTATGCTAGTTCAATTTACATCTTACTAATCATGTGTTGCACAAGTCACAGCCCTTCTTTGATTCCATAGATGGAGAGCGCGCACGCGTGTGTATGATTCTGTATGCCATCAGAACGCCTCAGCAGAAACCAACCACTTTTTTGTGTGCCCTAGGCTGACTTCTTTCTGGCACAGCTCTGTATTACTAGCATTACACTGAAGGTGTACAGTGTGGACAGCAAGGAGCAACCATTACCTAAGTTGTATGAAATCCACCTACTCTGTCATGATTTAAGCCCAGCTGGCAACTGAGCGCCACAGAAAGCCACTCGCTCACTCCTTTTCCCCCCACCCCCAACCCCAGAGGGATGGGGAGGAGAAAATACAAGGAAAGGCTTGTGGGTCACACAAGGACAGGGAAGGATCTCTTACCAGCTATGGTCATGGGCAAAACAGACTTGACTTGGGGAAGAAAAATCAATTTGTTACCAATCAAATCAGAGTAGGACAATGAGAGACAAAACCAGGTCTTAAAAACAACTTCCCTGCACCCCTCCCTTCTTTCTGGGCTCAACTGCACTCCCCATTTCTCTACCTCTTCCCCACCAGTGGCACAGCTGGAAGGGGAATGGGGGTTGTGGTCAGTTCATCATATGTCATCTCTCCTGCTCCCTCCTCCTGAGGGGAGGACTCCTCACACTCCGCCCCTGCTCCAGCATGGGGTCCCTCCCACAGAAGACAGTCGTCCATGAACTTCTCCAGCATGAGTCCTTCCCACAGGCTGCAGTTCTTGAGGAACTGCTCCAGTACAGATTCCTTCCACACCAGGTAGTCCTTCAGGAGCATCCTGCTCCAGAGTGGGCTTCCCACAGTCATGACCTCCTTTGGGCACAGATGCCTGCTCTGGCATGGGGCCCTTCCCAGGCTGCAGGTGGGTCTCTGCTCCCCCATGACCCCAGGGCACAGCCTGCCCTCTCACCACGGGCTGCAGGGCAACTTCTGCTGTGGCTCACCTTCTCCCTATCCTTTCTTCAATGACCTGGGTGCCTGCCTTGTTTCTCTCACATCCCACTCCTCTCTCCACTGCAGGTTTTTCCCCCATCCCCCTTAAATATGTTGCCCCAGAGGCAATGATTGGCTTGGCCTTGGGCAGCAGAAGGTCCAACTTGGAGCTGGGGAAACTTCTAACAGCTTCTCACAGGAGTCACCCCTGTAGCTCCCCCTGCTACGAAACGCCTGCCACACAAACCCAACACACTGCCCCAAGACTTGCAAACTGCCATCTTACAATACACCACATGGGGTGATGCAGAACCCTTGAGTCACCTTGCTGAACGGCAGCTGCGATTACAGTGCTAAGCCTACCCTGCCTTGTGCTGACAGAGTACCGCTGCATGCGCCCAAGTATGACAGCGTGCAGTCACGTAAACACAATCCTCACCATGCACAAGCAAAGTGTTTGCAATGGACAGTACACGTCATGGTGTAAACTGTGTTTGAACAAACCCTGCTACGAGCGAGGGAGACCTCACCAGTCTCTTACACTTCGTAAGTGTGGATCCCTCTCCCCAGGAACTCGAGGCAGAAGTCTGCTTAGACCCTTCTGACTGCCTTTACCTACCTATGATTTAACTGGAGACTACCCAGGCAGAAGTCTCTACAGAGAAGCAACATAACGGGATGATGTTCTCTGGCTACCAACCTTACAGTGAAAACAAGATCCTGCAAAAACAAAGCCAAAATTGTTGACAGTGTTTACTCTGTACTGATAAAAATTGAACTGTTACCTAAACATACAAACCAAGAACTTCATGATTCTATTAGAAAATGTTTGTCTGTTAGCAGAATATACAACATATTCTATCTGTGGCACACATGTGACTCAAGCAGGGCAGCCACACTAACTCAGAAGACTCAAAATGTGATGGGTCACAAAACTATCAGTTCGTCATGACAAAAAGTGACCATCATGTTTTGGCAAACTGGCTGCATTTCAACAGTCCGTATGATGCAAAACTCCCCTCCTTAAAATACTGGATAGTGCAAGCTAAAAATTGCATCTAACAGCACTAGACATACTCTTTTAAATCTTCACCCTAACTTATGGCTAGTAATCACACACACCAATCAGTGTTTTGATGAAATAAGCTAAGTTTCACTTCAGCTTAAACCCCGAGGCAGTTAAACGCTACTGATTCCTGCAACCCTGTGAAGTGCAGGGGCCAGCCAAGAACAAGGATAAGCCTTACTCCAGTACATAATTTTAATCTCATCAAACACTTAAAAAGAAGTATGAATTTAATGTGGTAACAAGCAGGAAGACACAGACATATGTAGTAAATGCTTGTAACAAAACAACATGCCATTATTTCAGTTAACTCACAAAATGTTCTGTTAGAAGCTTAATCAACAAGGAGCCTTGTTTCTCATATGGCTGCATTTTAGATCTTAAAACAAGAAACAATAATCAGAAAATTTATTGCTTAACAAAGTTAATCAATCTGATAAACCTACAGAGACACACTGCTGAATGCCTCATTTCACAGCATACAAATCACCTACCCTAACTTTTCCTCCCAGAGTGACAGGGAAATGACAGTTCTCAAGGTTTCAGAGGGCATTTTGGCTTTACTCAGTCTTGGAAAGATCTCAATGTACATGAGGTTTATGTCAGACATTAGTTGGTATCAAGTATGCACTGTGGAACAAATTACTGATTTCATTAAGTTAAACATAATTTGAGATGGAAGAAATCCTCTGCCACTTACTACTTAAGCTTTCTCCTCTTCATTCCCACCTTTGTCTTTCTCTATGAACATAGCTAGTGGATTTAGAAGCAGGATTTAAAATTGTTAGCCTGCAAAATAAAACATGGTGAGCCTAAATCAGACCATTAACCATCCTGGTTTAGATACAGAAGGCTACACGCAGCCCTTATGCTGTCAGAAAAACATTTTTTTATCTCCAAAGATTTCGCAGGCACAAAAATGTTTAACATGACAGAAGCATGCTTCTTCCAACCCTGATAACTCTGAATATACAGACGCTATAAACAGCTGTCACATGGATTGTTAAAACTGTGTCTCCTCCAGTTTCAGAGTTTGTTTGGCAAAAAATTTACGAGGCCTTGCCCTGAAGCTAAGAGTTCCTCAGGACTCCGCACAACTGCCTTAAAACAGGTAGTGTGGTGAACAGCGTTTAAAGGAGATGTGCTGATGAAAGGATGTATTTCAAAAGTCTCAATGTTGCTGTGAAGGAGGAGGGTCTCTAGGTACAGGGAATATAAATTTTCTTCTTAAGGTATATGCGGGTTGGGGCATCTGCTTCTTTGTCCCCCAGCGGTCAACACGTCTGCCCACATCTTCATTCACTTCTGTAAGAATTGACAAAATATCTTCACCCCTACAGCAAGAAGAGTAAAAATGAAAAAATGACTTTTTAATGAGCAGATGACACTCCATTTAACACCTCCCAGACCATCTAGAACATGATCTAGTATAAACATTTAAAACACAAAATACACATCCTTTTCCCCAAATTTCTTATCCTTTGTTCTCATTTGAGTCATATCAAAAAACAAAAGAGCTCTTTCTTACTCTGTCTTGCTGGATTCAACCAGTAAAGAAAAATAATGGAATAAAGTACTTTTACCTAAATGCACTCAAGAAACAGATGGCACTGCCTTAAAGAATATAGATGGGAGGTTTTGAAGGGTTTTTTTACAACAAACTTCACATTCCTCAGATTATCTCTGTAGTACTAGCACTGTTTCTGTAGATTTATCAGTGGCAAGCAAACAAATCATCAGTTTAGCTCATTTTGTTCACCTCAGAACATGGGTTAATGTTCCTATACAAATTTGCCTTTGGAGAAAAAGAACACGAAGGGGAGGTTCCTCCCATTTTTCCAAAGAGCTAAGCAAAGCATTTACCTTGGTACCAACAACTGCAGCTTGCTGCACAGGGCCTGAATATACCAAGCACCATCTTGAGTGTGTCGGAAAGAGACATATCCATCAATTGTGGCCATGCCTAGGAGGAAATCAGCCTCTTCAGGAATACTTTCAGAAGGAGAAACGTTCTGTTGCACGGAAGGCAAGTCAGGAATTCGTGCATCAGCTTCAACATAGACAGGACACTGTATCTCTTTACCCTGGCACGCTTGGATAAAGAAGAGTTTGGGTTTTTCAGCGAGCTGTGGGCACTGCTTGGCAGTGAAGTGGGACATGATCATGCGGATTGATACGAGCTGCGCATCTTTCCCGTAGATTGCTCCTGACTCTCCATGAGACAGAATACAACATACAAAGCAGTCCCTGTCTTTGTGATCTTGGAAATGCTGCCAAGTTCGCATGACATCTTTAATCTCCTCAGATGTCAGATCTGTGTAAACCTTCACATCCAAACCAAGCCATGTGAATACTCGCTCCAGTTCCCCTGTAATTAAAAGAAAGATAAAACGGAAAAATAGAGGCAGTAGAAAACCGCTTTATGAAGTCACCATGCAAGCTGATCTGAACTGGGAAAGACCTTACACCCTCACACTTTGCAGACTGATCCTTATACTAGTATCAACAAAAGGCTAACTGGAATAAAAAAGATGGCATCAGCTCAAAAACAGAGTTCCTAGATTTTTCTAGACAAGTTTCAGACAATACAGTAGCATTTGACAATATACAATGACACAGTAAGTGAACTCACAAACGACACCTGAAAATATGAGGAATTCCCTCCCAAGTTTCAGATTAGAGCTTTCAAAACTGCCCCCACATCATTATTTCCCAGTTGCAGTTTTAACTATTAGTTTCACACACAAGAGAGAAATAGAATGAACAGAATAAACTAAGAAGTATGCACAGAGTTGCCCAACCACTGAATTTTGCATTCTGTTATGTAGAATGATAGTTTATTACATATATTATTAATATAGTTATTATAGTGATAGATAAAGTCTAGTAAAAAGAGATACTTTAAATGGTTCAAGAATGGTCCAACTGCATCAGAAACTCAGCGGTTACTCATCCTTTAACCCTTCCTCCCCCAGGATACCCAAATGACCTTATTTAACACATATCAGACATTTTACTCCTAAAGACTATTAACTCACTAAAATATAGACAATAAAACATAGAGCAATACTAGACAATCAACTCACATGAGGAAACAGAGAGACTAATTCTCAGAAAACCTCACTTCAGTAACTTACCAGCATCTTTGCAAGAACCCTTCCTCTCCTGAAGGGGCGTATCAAAGTTCACATTATTAATAACAAGACAAATTCCTCTGTGTGGTCCATCCATTTTGTAGCATGTCATCTTCTGTAGAAAGGAGAGGAAAACAGCTTACAGCCCCAATGAATTTATTCAACTTACCCATATATCCTTAACATGTCTCAAAATTGGCATCCAAAAATTAGAATGCACATAAGACTGTGGGTTACTTTTGAAAAGCTGGACCTCAATGGTGCCTCCTTATGTGAAAAGACTTGGGTGAAGCCTCAAGCACACTCACACTGTACTATTAAAATGCAGAGGAAAAATTTAGCAGCTGGGTTGGTCATCTGTAGGCAAAAGGGAGGATTCAGCAGCCAAACCCTGCAATCTGAATTGGTGATGGGGATAGAAGTCCCCAGCTGTTTTCATTGTCACAACAATATTTTGACTTCTGATGGCAGAGGCTGCACAGTGAAACCACAGGATGTTAGAGATGTGAGTTGTTTTTTTTCGAGAGCAGTGATGAACACCTGAAGCAGGTGGTTCATACTGATCTACTGGAAAGGGATGCGAACAGACACCTCACATGCCCTTGCATGACAAATGTCATTAGAGGGATGAAGACCTCACACCCTTAGGTATTCAAAAAGAAGGATTTAAGAGATTGTCTCAAACCTTGGATTCATTTTCTGCATTGCTGAGTTTTCCAGGTAGTTTCAGGTTCATTTCAGAGAAGCCTTGGGTAAGATTAGCTGCTTTGTTATCTAGGAAAAAAAGCCAGCATAGATGTTTATGAAGAGAAACCCAGTATTGGTGAATGTTGCAAAAATGTGTTTAGCTACAATATAGCACTTTTTGTATTTTAAATACTGTTTCATTAAAAGGAGTAATTCCTCTGTATGAGACAGCATAGGATCAAAGGATTCAAAGGATCTATCCTGAACATGTTTCCAGTTATTTTTATTATACATGTTTTTGTGACAAAGGCAAGGGTTCTGTCTGTGTTGGTGCTGTGGAACAAAGATATCCATGGTACACAAGTAGATTCTACCTGAAACTTTCAAATGAATTTTTCATTTTGAAATCAGCTTAGAAATAAAATGTATCGTAAGAAGGCTATGCAGTGTTATACTGAAGCTCCCAGTGCAGGGTTTCTCTGTGTCCTGAATCACTGATAGGTCTCAGACCAGCTTTCAGAGTAAGGCTGCACTGACAGAGTTTGACAGCGGGAAAGAGCTGACAGATGTTGCACTGCTATTATGTATGTACAAATCATACACTTTATTTAATGCTTTCAAAACATCCATGCAACACCCCCAGGCTCTTCAACATAACAATCTATGCAGCAAAAGAAGGCAGAGCTAAAATCCTGCACCCAAAAAATGAATATCTCAGTTTTTTAACACTCATAGTGTCCTTTTCTCTTTTCATTCCTGGGATATTTAAGCAGAAAACTTGTTCGTTTTCAGGAAAGAAGTCACCTTTTTGCTTCTAACCAGACCAGACCTTATTTTGCTTCCCAGAAAGCACACTAGTTAGTTTCTAGATATCGACTGACAAAATACACAGGATTTGCCAATTTTGCATCTTTTATGTAAGAACAGAAATAGTTCAAATCTATTTGTGCAGAAAACAAAAGACCCTTCCAAGAAGACAGCAAGGTAAGTGTGCTGCATTAAACCAAATGCTAGAGATTTCCATGAGAAAGTAAAGGAATGCAACATTAATCATAAAGGTAATAAAAATCAAATATATTTTCAGAAATTCTTACCATTGATATTAGAACAGACAGATTTGATTGAAGTCTCCTGTTTTATGGGTGGGGGAATACCATGTTAAAAATCATTATTAAATATAAGTTTCATAGTGATTTTAGCAAAATAGGCTTAATACAAAGCTCTAAGTAGTGAGTAGGAAAACTACTGAGTTCTTAAGAGCAGCAAAGCATTTAAGAATGAAATTAAAAAAAGACTTCCCCACTTACAGCAAATCTCACAGAGCTGGAAACAACTGTATTTTCTCTTACAGATAAAGGGAAATAGCAAAGAATTTTCTTTCCCTTCCAAATGATCCTCTCACTATAGGGGTAAGCAGTCACTTTAACCAAAATAAAGGTCCCAACATAACCCCATATCAGTTCTATTGGACAGCCAATTATTTGAGTATAAATTGTTATAACTAGGGATTCTAGTCCTGCCTGAGAGATATCGTCTAGCTGTGTCAATGGTTTCTTATACAGCATGGAAAAAGTGTATAACCTCTCATCATTTTAAAGAAAAATCAAACATGATCATTAGGATTATGGAAACAGTCTCTAAGTCTTTTTCTAAAAAAAAAAAAAAATCTTTTAAACCTATGTTTTCTTAGTAAAACTACATTAATTTTCTTAAAGTGTCAAAGTGCCACGCATGAATGCTTCCCCAAACTCTCTGCACATGCAGAGCAAATATAGCTCAAAGCAGCAGTAATGCAAATCCTTCTGATACTAAAAAGCTAATTTTCCTCAGCCCCTGTCTACTAGGACTTCAATTCTTGGAAGTATCCTTAGAAATATCATTGGTTTCCTCATTCAGAACTGGGTTAAAACTCCATCCCTTCCTCTCTTCTTCCCCAGAAAGGGAGATCAGTCACAGCCCTGATAAGTTGCCCAATTTCATTCATGCAGCTGCAGGAGGGGTTTGACTGATCAAGGACTGGGCAAAATGGAACCACTTCCTTTAGCAGCAACAGTTTGAACTGATCACCAAAGTTTGGTGTTAGCCTTCAGAGACAGTTTAGTGTTGATCAGCTGAAACTTTAAAAACTGACTGACCCATTCTCTAGAAAGCATTTTCTCTCACCTCTCTTCCTAACATGATTTTTTTTCCCCCAATTGCACATGACCAGTAGTAATACTTCTGACTTCCACTATTTGATAGTGTATGCAATGGTATTTTTTACATGCTGAACACATATGCTTGTTCCCTTCCTAAACCAAGTGTGAAGATTTAGCAAAAATATCTCACAGCCACTATGGTTTCAAAATAAAGGCAAGAAAAAAAACCCAAACACCCCCCCAAACCACTAAACCCCGAGTTGGCAGTAGGTACTGCAGTGTACCTGTAAGGAATTGAATACTCTGATGTCCCCAGTGTGAGGCAGTGAAGCTTTGAGTGGCAGAGTGTTCTCCTGCTGAGGCAGAGACACTAAGAGCAGAAAGAGACAAAATGAGAGAAGCCAAGTACCTTTTAGCTAAACCAGTATGAATCTACACATTAGGCAAATGCAGATCTATGTTACTGATATATTAAAATAGAAAGCAACGTTGAAACACACTCAGAAAGCATGGGGGAATGGAACTCATGAAACACTGAGCGCCCTTGCACCTCCTAGGGAGATGGAGCTTTGCACTTCCCAGAATTTGCTTCCCAGTGCTTAAATACATGGAAGTAGAACTTTTTCTCCAGTATGCTTACAGTCGCATTACAAACTGCAGTATAACCCCTGGCAACGTGAATCACACGTTTACTAATAAGGTCTACCACATGCAAACACAGCTTGCCTCAGCTTTGCTCATTGCAAACTGTACCTTGTTGCAGTGTACATTCATACATCACAAAGTGCTTCTACAGGACAGTCATCATCGACTCAATACTGCTGAATGGAAAAATGCGATATAACTATACACAGATTTTCAGTTTCCCAGCCTATTCTGTATGTGCTAGACTACCCTGCATGGCCTCAGATATTCCAGCACATCCTTACTGGAATTCAGCTAGGAAGTAATGCAAGCTAGGGACTGTTATGCCAAATTTGTGTGTGAAGATGAGACTCCACTCTAGCTCTCTTTCCAGCATTGCATATGCAGGACCTTGAGGTTCAGCTGCCCAGACTCTTCTAGTGCTTCCTGCATTTTAGCAAACCTACCCCCTGACTCTGAATTACTCACCTTTTGCCCTTTTGTAGCAGTTTACCGTTTCCAGGAGATCAGGTGAAACATTCATACAGACTTCCTCCAGCATCTGTACATTGTTTTCAGTTAAAAGGCCCTGATTTTCCAATAAAATCATCAACTCCAGAGCAGACTGACAGCCAAAAGGAGAGAGTAAAAATAATTTTTGAGTTCTAAGGAACAATAACCCTGTCTCAGCCCTGTCTGCCTCCAACAATCACATTATTATCTGCTTTGCTTCCTACCAAAGTCCAAACAGTCTATTCTGCATCACTGTAGGAGGTGGAAATGTTGCTCCATGGAAAGCTACTGGTTGCATTATTCAATATGGTCTTATTTGTACATGTTCACCCAAACCATATTAATGACTCTTGGTTTCAAGAAGGCTTTATTGCTGTGAAATGATACCAATGACACATGGACATGAATCTCCTTTGCACCTGGCTCAAGCAGGGCAAAGATTTGATTTGTCACCCTTTTATGATGTAATGCAAGACTACCAACTGTCAATCTTGGCAGAAAGCATCAAATTCCACACGTAGCTGTCAGCAGCTTCCTCCTTGCTAACCCCATAAATACTGACCAGCCTAGCTGCAGATTATGTCCTATTCTGCCAAATACTGTTCTCATCATGCTTTTCCTCCTATTTTACCCCACCCTTCTTCACTTCCCGACATATACACATGTGGCTCTCTCCTCACATACAAGAGTTATCCGTCTCTTTGGAAGACAGTTTTGCAGGAGGAATATGATATCCTTCAACATCTCGTCGGTAATGTTCTCTGACAAGTCATACAGCATCTGCCTGTAACAGAGATCCAGTGAGATAAATGCAGAACATAAGATGGTGTAGAAACTAAAAGCTACCTAAGAATTTAAAACTGGAACGGTAACAGTATGGCACAGATGGCAGTAATGGAGAGAACAGAATCCTACTGCAAGCTTACCTGTACAGAGATACTCTTCCCTTCTCACGCAGACATTCTTGCACTTTCTCCTTGGTATAACCAAGTTTCTTGAGCAAGGAGTGACATTTAATTCTGTATAAGAGTTCAGCTAGTAGGAAAGTATCTCCCTCATTCAGATATTCTTTAGCCATAAGAAGCTCAAAGATATCCACTGCTGACTTCACATTTTCTAGTTTTCTGAAGGGGAGCAAGTCAGTACAGAGAAATTTTAAAGCTGCTACATCGTCAGCCACCAGATTTTCATCAATGAACAGGAGCTGCTGACGGAACTTCAAGCTGACATCATCCTCCATGTTGCTGGAACCAAAGTCTCTCTGCCTGAAAGTAGAAAGCAAACATTGGTAGCACCTGAATCTTCAATACAACAATCCTTGTAAGGATACTCTTATTAATTTCATCCAACAGCTCTTTGGAAGCCCTGAATTCCTTGCAGAAGAAAAGTTTCCTTTTAAATAAATCTGAAACTTACTCCCCCATAGCTCAATACTTGTTCTTCACATTCCTTTTCTTAGCAAATCCCATGTGTTGTGATACTCTCTTCACTTAACCTGCTGTCAACAAGGTTCAGACCTCAGCCAGCTACCCACACACAGAAATGATTTTGCAGTTAATCTATTTATACTAATTTAGCTAAAAGCCACTTTAACACCTTATTTAGATGCTTTAATCAACTAAATTTAGCTGAATGACTTGGGTTAAACTGATTCCTGCCTAAACTACCAAGCCTATATAATCCAGGTTCAAACTTATTTATGACAATTCAGAATTTAGAGCCAGTGACTTGAACAGAGTTAAAAAATCATTGCTTTAGGAGAACAGGGCAAGTGGTGTGTACATCAGGTGTACATAGTCATTTCATCAGCAAATCAAACTGAGGCAAGATTCAGCACAAATTCCTTCATCAACCTTTAAAATAGTTTCCAATTCTGTGTTGCTGCCATTCTTGGAAATCTTTTTTGACTCCAAACATTTCCTGCTTGACATCGGAATATCCTCAAGACCTCCCAACGCGTGTCTGTAACCTCTCTTTCCCACCTCTGTGCGGAGAGCAGGCCGAGATGGCCCTCTCTCCCAGCACTATAGTGAAAGGCAATGGTTCCAGCCCACTGCTTGGCTTACTGCTACAGTGGTTTTGGACTCCTCTACCACTTCATACGTTTTACAGGCCATTTATAAAGCATCGTGGTAAAAAAGAGAGTCCTAAAGCAAAGAAGGAAAACGAGCAAACAACCCCTACGCCAGTAAAACAAGACGCTGCTAAACACCCAGCACTAACATACACGGGGCCTGGACCTACCCGCTCCCGGGTTTGCCGCGCAGAACACCGGCACTGCCAGGCTAGAAGATTTAAGAATCATGCAAACCCACGAAGCACCGGGGAACGCCGAGGCCCAGCCCCCTCAGCTCCGTCCCGCGGGCAGCCCGGAGGCAGGTGCACAGCACCGAAGTACGGCGTGGGATTTAGGCTCGGGACTCGGGAACTGAAGCCTTCCATCATCTCCCCTCCGTTTCAGTCCCGCTTTCTTACCTCTGCCGTGAATCCCGACCCGTCCCGCTCCCGACAGCTGGGCGCTTCCCTTCCTCCCGCCCAGCCGGCGGGGCGTGCCGCAGTGCTGAC